GAAACTCATGCCAGGTGCATGTGTGTGCATGCCAAGATCCTGAAAAGAGAATGGAGAAGAAGGGATTGTGGTGTGGTATCTTCCCCTGGGAGTGGTTTCTTTCTTTCTCTCTGTCCCTCAAGTGAGCACATGCACCCTATAGCAAAAGTCTCTTAAAAAAAAAAATTATCAAACAAACAAAAGAGTTGAAATACATAGGAGATAGATACCTTTTTAAATAGAACTATGTTTACCACTATGGATCTAATTACAATGCATAAACTTTACATTTGCTTTATTTATCAAGGAGGGTTGCCTTCACTGAGAATTAAAATATAAATGATAATAGTAATAGTAACAATAGCATCAACAGTAATACATGTCAACATTGAGTACTTTCTACAGCTGAGCTGCTATTAAAGCCCTTGCCATATATTTAACTCATTTAATCCTTATAACTACCCTCTAAGAAAGGTACCATTATCTGCATTTTAAGATAGTGAATATAATCGCAACATTAGACTGTCATGATGAGGAATATTTAGATTAATGGTAAATGAAATTTAAATAAAGAATGAGAACATATGTATACACACAAGTGGAGACCAGAGAAAAATCAGAGAGAATTATATCACCAACTCAATGTCTTCAGGATCAAATGCACCGACCACTGGGCCCAGGTCTTCTGGGCAAATAGACATAGTGCTGATGTACTACTAAGAATTACCATGAGATGGACGTAAGTCCTCAAAACTCAAAGAAAGTGAACAGTGCAGAATTACTATTTTAAAGCCGCAATTAATTGGAAGTAGAAATTGCATTTAATAGGGAAAAGATTGAGTAGAATTCACCATTGCCAATTTATCTTTATTTGAGGGGGGAAAAGCCTCGAAATCAGTGTACACATATTTTGCAGATACATTTACCAAAAAAAAAAAAACCCACAGTGTATCCTTCTCAGTCATTGTTTCCCATTTTGAATTCATAGCTTCTACTTTCTAGTTTGACAAATTTTGTGATTTGCAAAAATGGAGGAAAATGAATACGTGAAACTTGTAAAAGCTAAATTTTATGTCTACAAATATAAGCAAGAAATGAAGGTGGCATTTGCTTTATTTTGTTTTGTTTCATTCTGAAAATTTTTTAAAGAACTATTTTATTTTATTTATGGTTATTTTTTAATTTTTTGCTATAGGGCACGTATGTTTGCCGGAGATAGAGATAAAGTGAAAAAGTGAGATTGTGTAATGTCATATAGCCAACAGTGGTTTGAGTCCCAAACTGGCAACTTAAAACTCACCCTGGGTGGGGACCAGCAGTTAGCGTAATGGCTATGTCGCTGGACTCCCACGAAGTTGACCGCAGTTCGAGTCCCGGACCCGGTGACTTAAACTCATGCCGGGCACGTGTGCTTGTGTGCCCAAGATCCCGAGAGGAGAACAGAGGAGAAGGGATTGCAGCATGGCCATCCCCCCTGGGGGGTGATTTCTCGCTTTCTGTCTCTCTGTCTCTGTCTGTCTAGCGAGCAAATGCGCCCTATAGCAAAAACCTCTCTCAAAAACCTCCCAAGAGGAAGGGATTGTAGTGTAGTCATCGGGTGATTTCTTGCTTGTTCTCTCTCTCTCTCTCTCTCTCTCTCTCTCTCTCTCTCTCTCTATATCTCCCCATATTATTCTATTTTTTGAAGTTGACCAGAGAGAAAAAAAAAATGAGAAAGCAAGCTGCCAGGTGCAGGACTTGAACCACAGTCAGCCATGTGAGAGATCTATGCCTTAATCACCATGCCACCTGCTGGCCCTGCTTTATTTAATTTTTTAAAATATTTATTGTAATTTGTTGTTAATATTCATTACACATCTTTGTAGGGTACAGAATGGTTTTTGTTTGTTTTTAATTTTTTTAAAATTTTTTATATACATTCAATCACATTGTTTAGCTTACAAAGTGAACATTTCAATATGTGAACATTTCTCCCCAGTCCAGTTGATCAAAATATCTTCAACAGATAACACCACACCTCCCCATCCCGTCAATGCTCTGCCTCCATATCCCTCCTCCAAATGTCCTTCCTCAGGCTCCACTCCTCCACACACACCACATCTGGCATTCACATTAAAAACATAAATACTGTGTTTAAGAAATAAGTAGAGGATATAGACGTATTCATCGCCATCAACTTTAACATTATATTGTGCTGTGAATATTCAAAACCCACGCCACTGGTCATTCTGGAAGTATGTAGTGAATTGTATGATGTTCTTTACTGTGAGATACATTTCTAAAGAAAAAGAAACCTATTAAAAATTGGACAACATAGTCTCATGAATTAATGAGGATAGATTTTTTAAAACAAAGGTAATGTTTTCTTTGTTTTCTGAGAGGTTTTTGCTTTAGGGCACGTGCGCTCACCAGAAAGAGACAGAGAGACAGAAAGTGAGAAATCACCCCCCAAGGGAGAGAGCCAAGTCACAATCCCTTCTCTATTCTCTTCTTGGATCTTGGGCATGCATACCAGCGTGAGTTTAAGCCACTGGGTCTGGAACTCAAACCGCAGTCAACAAACATGGGAGTTTAGCAACATGGCCATTATGCCAACTGCTGGTCCCGTGAAAACAAAGGTAATGTTAATATAGCCAATAAAAGAAGAATTTGTCATTTCCATGTACAGGACTATATGAGATAAGAGTTTATAATCTGAAAATATCTGTGATACCAATCATTTGTCCAGTTAGAGATAAATAAAATTGTACCTAACAATAGCTCATTAGAAAGAGACAGAAAAAGAAAACTTACTATGCATGCTTATAAGACCAATTCAGTACCATAGTACTGAATTGTGCATAAAGAAATAGGCCCTCATAAAAGAAAAAACAAAATAAAATTGGAAAGAGATGTTTAAAAGTGAAAATGTGATGAAGTCAGTGATTTAGTGATTTATATCCTTTACAAAGCTCTTGATTTTAGCTTTCTTTATTTCCAAGACTCAGGTATTTGTGACATTTTGGACTTTTCCTGTTATCTATTTATAAAATGAGTAATGGCTATCATAAATATATAAAGAGAAACAGGTGGAGACAACTGTCTATCAAATAATTGGTGAATTGGTATTGATACCTGCTTGTGTGCAAAATAGTTGAATCAGCATTTTAGCCTTTTAGTTGGGAAATTTAATCCCAACATTCAATGTTACTATCGATATGTCTGCACTCCCCCTTTCCCCCTTGTAGGTAACTTGGTGCATCTCTTTTGCCATTGTTTGAATGTTGTCTTTGTCTTTGATTTTTATCAATTCGGCTGTAACGTGCCTTGGAGAGGATCTCCTTATGTTATATTTATTTGGTGTCCTTTGTATTTCTTGGATTTGAATGTCTGCAAGGCTTTCTAAATTTGGAAAGTTTTCCGCAGTGTCCTAGGCCTGCATCCCCGTTGGTCCTGATGAGTGAGGGCAGAATGCCAGAAGCCCACGTGGGAGTGGGAGTAGCAGCTCGGACCTTCTATCTTAGGCTGCCCTGCTGTTCCTTCTATTTCTGGTGATTTTTTTTTTTTTTTGATCAGTGTAAGAAAGCACAGTAATTGTTTGTATGATTTTTTACTACTATTACTGTCTGATTTTCCCATGCTAACTAGAAATAAGAGTCTAAGATTAAGGATCATTTATAGTGATTTAAAGTTGGCATTCCTTGCCTTGTTTTCAAATAATTACACCTGCCCTTTGCATCAGTCAGAATCCCCGAGACCCACAAGGAAAATCTCAGTTGTCTATTTCATGCTTTTAAACAGAAACCTTAGTAAAAGACATTGATTAATTATTGAAAAGAAATGGTCAGTGCAGCCACATTTTCAATTTAACTTACTGAAGCAATTCATACTTATTTCAGACAGAATTACTTGACCTCTTCAGTTGTGGGTTTTTTTCCACACATTTGGATTATATGTTATAGATCCAAAATGTTATTGTCTCTAAGGATTTGCACAATCAATAAAAGATAATAATTTTAAAATACCCAGGGAGAGAGGTGTGTCAACCAAGAGCTAAATACATTTGGATGTAAAAATGTGGCTCAAAATACAAATTTTGTACCTCCACAAATATGCATAATTATATGTTAATAAAAACATTTGGAAAAAATTATGATAGAGAGGTTCAATTATATAAATAAAATAAAATAAGAACTTTAGGATCCTTATGTACTCTGCCTTCAGAGCTTAGAGAAAATAAAAAAATTTTTCAATTGCTACTGGAATCTTTTCTATGTAATCAAAAGCTTACTCAACCCTGGTTTCTTTTACTCATCATTCTTTTAAGAAATCAATTTTACTTTATGTTATTTTTAAAAAATTTTCAGTATACTTTCGAGATGAACCTTAAGTGATTTCATTGGCTTTGTTGTTTTGGAAAGTGTGTACATATTACAATAGAAAGAAGCACTGATGAGACTCTTACTGAGGAGCTGTTGTCTTTTGATTAGTTAAGCACTAAGGGATAACTTGAGAGCGATGTTTGGGCAACTGAGTCAGACTCACAAGTATGAAATGATTAAATGAAAACGCAATCAGCAGGGGCCTGGGAGCATTGCCTGCTGAGAGATAATACCGCAGCTCTCTAATTGGCTCGGAGCAAGCATGCAGGATGACGGATTTCAGTTGCGGTTTTCCCAGTCTTGCTTCCCCCAGCACTATTATCTCAGAGTGACACTTCCATTACTCTGAGCGGAGAAAGATGAACGTCACCTGTCAGGGGCTGGTTAATTGTGTTGCTAGATGTATGTTGCCAGGGCGCAGGTTGGACATTTATGAACATAACTGCTTCCTCTGATGTCCGCCATCCTTCAGGGATCGATATGGCTCTTACAGTAAGCGCGTAATTGAGTGAAGGCACTTTCCACTGAGGGGCTGAAGATGAGCCCATTGTGTGAGCTTCATTGTCCATACATTTACCATAAATGAGCTGATATTTGCCATTTATTGTGTGCAGCATTGTGGAAATGGAAACTAATGTGCCACTTTCATTTGTTTTCTAGATAAATGGGGAAGATGTCCAGAACCGAGAAGAAGCGGTGGCGCTGCTGTCTAGCGATGAGTGTAAAAGGATCGTACTGCTTGTTGCAAGGCCAGAGATGCAGGTCAGAACCGAGATCAAAAGTCTCGAGGCTGAACTTTATATTCATTGAAGTCATAGAGTATAAATTCCTTAGTGAGTTCGTATTCATTATCTACTGTTCTATTTCAAGTCATTGTTATGGGTATCTATAAAACCAAAGACTACAAAATACAGGGAAGACTGATCATTTCTAACTTACCAGCCTTATCCCCCAAATTTTGTGTTAAAGACCCCTTTGCTCCATGGAATGGCAGCTAAGGAAACTTTTAAAAAGCACACTAAATTGAATCATTCTCTCTTTCCACTTGTCAATTATTTCAGTGAATTCACAAATAAAAAAAAAAAAGATTGACTTTACATGCTTTTTAATTCTGTATGTATCCTTATTTTAGGTTTCCATCTAAAAATACTTGATTGGCACATTAAGGTATCCTGGAAGACTCTCTAATGAGAGAAACATTAGCATATCTAACTACCATCTTACATGTCTTTGGAATATCTTTATCAGATAAAATTCTTATGTAGCATGCTGTGCTTCCATGTATAAAAAATGAATTTTTTCCAAGTTTAATGTGACAAAAAATATCTGGTCAAAACAAACTTATAGCTTTTAACATATTTTTTTTATGTTTATGGAGAAATATATCATGAAAGTAAAGTAGAAGTAATAGTGGAAGAGAAGTACTATTGGTGCTTCCTTTTATATCCTTTCCATATGCCACCAATGTGCAGAAAGGACAATACACTGTCACCATTCTACCCATCTGTCAGTAGTTTGAGTGAAGTTAGTTGTATCACCATTTGTCTCCCAGGTTATTGATCTGATATTTTTCAGACTCAGTAACTACATACTATCTATAAATTACATTGAGTAAGTGTATTTCAGTGTCAGACTGAATCCTGACTTGAATATAGTGGTTATAAAAGATCACCCTTTCCGCATATATTTTCTTTATGCCCTTGACCATTCTAAATGGTTCCCATAAAGTCTGCCATAGCCTGGGGCAGAGTAAAGCTACACACCTGAGGTCTTAGGACTGGGAAAATGAGCCCGTACAACTGGCTGCATTGTCTGTATAGGAGTAAATTTAAAAATCCATATGAAATTGCATCTGTAAATTTCTGAGGCCAGTTATCTCACTGATCCCATTTTTTGTAAAACATGCAAACAGAATATTAGTCAATATCAGAGTAAACTGAAGAAAACCCATAGCCATTGCTGTTGCCAGAAAGATATTTTCTTATGATGTTGCAGCTTTCCTGCCTTTCCATGTAGCTGCTAGAGAACGTCATTAAGTTAGCACGAAAGCATTTCCTTTAACTGTGCCACATAATGGCCGTAATGGGCAGCAGACAGAACAGAAATTAATGACATAGACCAGATCCTGTTCATCTTTGATGGGATACATATGCTCGGTGGAACTGGGAACCTTTTAGAATATCTGGCGACCCTCCTGAACTTTTCCCTAAAAAAAGTCAATGTTGGAAGATAAATTTTCAAATATGACTTTTTTCCCCCACAGTTGATGAAGGACAGTTTTCTGACTCCATAGGATGCAGTCTTGCCTCTCAAAATCAGAATCCACATTAGCCCCTTGATCTCGAAGAAGTCTTTATGCCACTGGAAGGAAGATAATCACCTATAGGAAGTCAGATTTCCTAAGAAATCAGAAAAGAAAATGCATTTTAACACCATATCTTGAAAATTTAATTTAAGCTGTATAAGCTACAAAGTATCCAAAAGAAAATAAGACTTAAAAAAATCTTGCCTTTATGTCACCCAGTTTTTCATCGAATTCTATATATCTCATTATTGCATACTTTTATTTTTTGCATATGTGTTATATTCAGGAAGAATGTGGAAGCTTTTTGTGTGCTTTTTTTCTACTATCTTTTTTTTTAATGTTTCAAATACTCTCTAGATTCTTGGAAATGATCTATAGAGTTGCTAGGGGCAGTTTTGTGCATCTGTGCAATATTTTTAAATAACTCATTTCCTTTATTCCCTGTCAACTTTCTTTCATTTTCTGCCCATTTTCTTCCTCAGACCATTAAAGATATTGCTTTTCTATCCTAGTCCCCTGAGGACATTGGGGCAGAGAGGGCTCACGTAAGAATTCATAGCCACTGTATTTGAGACAGTTTAGGTTGTTCCTCTCTCTCAGATACTGCATGTGATCCACCTTGGTGCAGACAGATCCCCACTGTATAGTAACAACAATCTTTCCTTCACTGCAGCCCCGTTCTAGGGAATGTCCGTCTCTGCCACCTCAGTATACTCAGGCTGCTGTGAATGCTGGGCCAGGGAAATGGGAAATACTGCAGGGAAGGGAGTGAGTGAGAAGCATCTCCCTTTATTCATGGAGCTGCATGTACCCTCAGTCTAAAGGAAAACCTTCCCAGAATAGATACACAAGGGGACTTTAAAAGTTTATGGAAAATGGAATTAAAGTACCAAAAGAAAGTGAAATCCATACACAGTTTTTTAAAGGTATTGTCTGTGAAATTTTTGAAGATCCCTTGAGTATTGACTTTAGATGACCACTCAGGAATCTATCGGGTAGATAATAAGAAAAGAGTTATAGGGAATCAATGATTCATGCTGTAAGTTCTTACCTCCCCCACTACTTCATTAGACCTCAAAAGACTCTTTTACATCGTTCACTTTATCAGTGTTAGAAGATATTTTATTTTGTATTACTTTTATAAACACACTAAGGAAGAGTTCCTTTCTCTGAGATACCACCTATGATCCAAGTTCCTTGGTGTGTTTATAAAAAGTAAACATTCCTAGCTTCGAATCATTTCCTTTGAGATTTAGCATTTGCAGCTTCATGACACTTAAAGGGTATTAAAGAACAAAAAATATAAAATTTAGCCAATTATAAATTGGAGCTAATTTAAGTTTTCAGTCCACATAATTATCATAGCTCATCTGCATTTCAGTCAGTGGGGACGAATTTAGTCAAGGTATTCAGTCCACACTGAGATAAATGAAGGTAAATAAATGTGTCTGCACTTTGGGTCCCAGTTGGATGGAAGCAATTTAAGTCCTATGTGGCCTTTAGCAGATGCAGCAAAATCTTCGATTTGCCTGAAGATTAACGGACATGATACATATATACTGACACTTCTTTCCATTTGTTTTTGTTTTTAAGTTTTTGAATTTCAAATATATTTAAGGCCTTATTTTGCCAGTTTGTTGGTGAAAACACCTTGAAATTTTATTGTCTAGCTTACTATTGTAGAAAGCCACTGGTTTTTTGTGGCACAGAGTAAAGTGGAGTTTTGACAATAATCCAGCTAATTTAATCAGCATAGATATCAAATTTATGTAATCCAGCTCCAAATTCCACTCTGAGGCAGATTAACTATGCTGTCAACCCCAATCATATGAGCTAGATAACCATCAGGATTCCACTTCATTTTATACTGAGAAACCAAAGGAATTGGTTTGATTTCATTTGTGAAAGCCCCTCACAAGAGCACTTGCACCCAGCACCCACACTCAAAACCCTGTGTGTGCTACACCACACCACTCCCCCCAAATGCCATGTCTGCTGTGGTCTTTCTCCCTGGAATAGGCCTGAAAAATAAATCAAAATAAACATGGAATAGTATTGTTTAAATAAATAAAGCATAGAGTTACTTTTTTTTTCTTTTAAAGACTAACCTAGAATTTTTCTTTCTTTAATAGATAAATGTTGTCTATAGATTCTTTGATAGCAAGTTGCCATCTCTTTAAAGAGGGAACCATCTGCCTCAAAATAAAAAAGTAGGATGAGGGAAACATCAGCGTGTGGGGGAAGGCACTTTGTGTGTTGCCTTGTCGGGGGTTGTTGTTAAGGAAGAAAAGCCCAATCGTCTCATAGCCCTATTAGTACCATTGCGGTCTTGTAACACAGGGGCTGTTGGAGGTAATGAGCATGACAGCTGTGGATTATGCACGATGCTTTTCATTCGTTTTGAAAGAAGGTAATGTTCTATGCTGTGAGATGTGCTTGGTTATGAGGGAAAATCTCTAGCTCTGTTTCAGGAAAGGATAAAAGGCACAAGAGGCCATTTTTTGTTGTTGTTGTTATCACCTTTTCTTCTTTCTGAGAGGTGAACTATAGGAGGCTGATATTCTGAGGAAAATCATTATGATGAAAGGAGCTGGTCAGGCGTTGTCATTTAAGTTTTCCCTATTTTAGCATGAGTTCTCACTAACATAATATAATGCACTAATGTATTCTTTTGCAGCTGGATGAAGGCTGGCTGGAAGATGAAAGGAATGAATTCTTAGAGGAGTTAAACTTGGAGATGCTGGAAGAACAGCATGATATAGCAATGCAGCACACTGCCACTGAGGTGGAGCAGGTAGGGCCAACCATTTGAACCACGTCATTTTGAAATGTTGCCAGTTCTTTTTTTAACATAGAACTACAAATGGGGTAAAAAGCAAAATCAAAGGGATTGATCAAATATCTCTACAACGATAACCTTTTAGAGCAAATTATCATCTCAAATCTAACAGAGGGAATCATTTTTTCTAAAGAATATCTTCAGTTTGGGAACCTTAGGGCACCTTTGTTAATACAGTACAGTAGGACTCAAATGTGAGCTGGGTACTGTCTCGGCCTAATGGCAGAAACTGGCATCATTTTGCCCTAAGGTCACATATAAACTCCACAAAAATTGTTAAGCTCCTAATATATTCCAAGCCCCCTACTTGATGCTGAGAATATAGTGGAAAATGAGCAGAGTTCCTGCCCTTCGCTGATTCGTAACTGGTAAAAGATCACAGGGTGTTTTATGCCAAACTGAGTGTTAGTATTCTTTCCATTTTTGTTGTTGTTTTCTCACTGGAAATAACAAAACCAACATATCTTAGATTTTTATGTCCAATTCATGTCATTCATCTGCATGCTATAGTTTTGTTGACACGTCGCTGTCAGTTTTCTGATTTGTTTAATTATCTCATTCTCAACATTAATTCTTAACACATCCTAAAAGATGGTATTTTTAAAATATCCCGACAGGCTTAGGAACACAAACATTCTCTCACTTTACCAAGATAATGGAATAGATTGACATGTTAACATCCCATAACAGAAATGTGTTTGTGTGTGTGCACATGCCCATATAGTCAGTAAATCATTAGATTGCAAACTACAGCGTCAACACAGCCATGTGTGATATACTTACGTGCCGATGGTGGAAGCTCATTGGCCCTGTTACAAACAGTTCTTGCTCAAAAGCCATTCTGCTTCTGTGGTGATTGCTTTTCAATATAGGTGGGACAGGCTGAAATTTTTATGTATGACTTCAACACTGGCCACAAATAAAGATATGTTTGGTGGCAGCTGCTGGTTACAAGCAAGAAAGTCCTTGCTGCAGGCTTTTTCTCTCTTAGATACAAAATGTGACCTGATACAGAATTGACAGGAGGATGTTGGAATAAAGAAAGAAAGGAGAAATCCTGTCCAGGTGAAGTGATATGGTGTCAAATGCTGCCTACTCATCAGACATAATACAAATGTTAGGTCTGCTGAGGTAACACTGTATGTCCCTGAGGTTAGATTCTCATTGTGTGGAAATTTTTCTTCAGCATGAAACTGAAAAATGATGAGAAGTACAGAAACCTTTCAAAGTCCTTTGCTCTTATAAACAATAATACTACATTAGAAATGTCTTGGTAGAAACATTACCTGTCACTATAATAATAATCCCATACAGAAATGATAAATGATAGAGTAGCATGACATTAGCAACCAGGAATTCTAGGTTTGAGAATGGAAATCTCTCTTTATTTTCACAGTTGCTTATAGACCAGTAACAAAAGAAAGGGAAATTCAATAATAATAATAATAAAATGAGGACCAGATGAGATGCAGTAGCAAAACATGGCATGCTGAGAGGCTCACACACATGGGAAGGTTCCAGACTCATTTCCAAAGACCTCCCTGTGTGCACCAAGCATATGCATGCCCATGATCTGGGGCTGGATGAAATTGGAGGTGGGTCACAGCATTAAGACTCTGTTTGGTGGTTTGCTCTGTCATTCACTTAGGGAAGAAAATAAGAAGTGAACTTTTAAAATAAAAATGAATATGTGTCCATATTGTAAACCCACTTTATGGAAAATTTCACTTTACATATTGTCTTTGGTCCTATAGTCACTATTAGATGCAATTTATACCATCTCCCAAAACATAATTTGTCTGTATTTTTTGAACTGTATATAAGATAAGAAAAAAAAAAAAAAAAAAACGACTCTTCCTATATTTCCTCAGCTTATTACAAAATATGAGAAAAATATAACTGAACATAATGTAATACATAAACTCAAATGCCAAGTGTTAGGAACATCCTTTGAGTGTTTTATCACACAATATGCCAATGTCACCACATTTGAGGCCCGTGTCAGCTTAGAGACATAGGGATGTAACAAGCCTTCTACCGTTTGCTCCAATTACTTATCAATACTTAAATATATATTGTTCACCAATAAGACATTTAAAATTAATCTGAGTATGTTTTCAACAGATGAAGTGAAATATTCAGGGAATGATTAAGACTCCTAGAATAACACAGTATGTGGTCACATTTTCTCCTCTCCAATTTATGCTACATTTTTTTATGTGTTTTAGAATACTTTTTTCATCTATTCCATCTATTTCATCTATTTAATTATGTAATTATACCTTCTACAAGAAAAGAATTATATATGTGTTCATGTGTGTGCATGTATATAATAGTGAATAAACTTAGACATAAGGCAAATACTACCCAGAAACTGCCATGCAGTTACTGTAGATAAGTGACAGAGAAGAAAGTAACTTTACCCTATTCACAGAAAAAGAACTACATATACATCTCATTAGGGTACTGATAGTTAATCATTCTCCCTGAAAGTCAAAAATCACCCAGGAATGAAATATATTTAAATTTATATGTGTGTGTGTGTATGTGTGTGTGTGTATGTGTGTGTGTGTGTATATATATATATATATGTATATATGTATAAATATATATGTATATATATTTAAATTTAAAATACATTTAAATTGATATATATCAATATACAAATTTAAATATATTTTAAATATATTTAATATATTTAAATATTTTTTTTTCTTTTTTTGGAAAGGTTTTTGCTATAGGGCATGTGCACTCGCCAGAAAGACAGAGAGAGAGAGAGAGATATTTAATATATTTAAATATTTTAAATTACAAATAATGTCCATGATTCATACTCAGTGCTGCTCAGATTTTTCATGGTAACTGTCATTTTTTACTCTCAATAAACTAAAATTATTTTTAAAGAACAATCCTGCTAAGACTAGAAAAAAATCTCTTTATGTCACCCAAGTGAGTCCTAAGACATTGCTGCTGGTTTGGGGGAACCTGACTTGAACAATGGACTGAGGTCCAAGTGTGAATATCCAGGAAGATGGCATCCTGGATATGTAAAATATTCTGGCACTAGGAGGCAGAGCTTTGCCTGCTAGAATTCTTTGTCACTGATAATTGAATAGATATGAATTAATTCCTCATTATCAATAGAAGGTCCTGAGCTCTAGCACTTAATTTTAACTTTGTCTTACAATTTTGTGATATTTGACTTACCATTGTCAGTGTATTACTTAGTTGAAGTTTCCTCTGAACTTCAGGGACCAAAAAAAAAAAAAAAAAAAAACCCATGGTTTCTGAACTCTAAGCTTTCATATTGCTAAAGACCATTTATTTATTTATTTTAGGTGGGAGGGAAGGTTTTTGCTATAGGGCACATGCACCTGCCAGAAAGACAGAGACAGAGAGACAGAAAGTGAGAAATCACTCCCCCAGGGGGGATGGCCACACAGTAATCCCTTCTCCTCCATTCTCTTAGGATTTTGGGCGCACATGCACCCAGCATGAGTTTAAGCCACCAAGTTCGGCACTTGAACCATGGTTGACTACATGGGAGTCCAATGACGTAGCCATTATGCCATCTGCTGGTCCCACATATTGCTGAAGACCATTTAGACATTTCATCTTGCTCATCTTTTTGTGTATTATCACTTCAAAAATTCTTAAAGTCACTTCATTTATGCACCTTCACTCTGGAATTTTCCAAGTAAAAGAAAACCTTAAAGAGAGAAATTATTTCTTTAAATGCATCCTGTCTTACTTATACCCAAGTGAGTATCATAGCCATATTCAAACAACTTTTGTTTTATTTCATTGCATAGAAAACTGCTGTGAGCTAATTGTCTTTCTAAAATTGTTACAGATACTAAATTTAAAGCAGATTTACATTGTTTTATAATAATCAGTGTTTTACAAAATAATTAACTTTGAACTTTATTTTCTTAGCCAAAAAAACAAGAAGAAGAAGAAGGCACAACAGACACAGCGACATCCTCATCTAACAACCATGAAAAGGACAGTGGAGTGGGGCGCACAGACGAAAGTTTGCGAAATGATGAGAGCTCAGAGCAAGAGAACACAGCGGAGGACCCCAACAGCACCTCTCTGAAGAGCAAGAGAGAGCTGGGGCAGAGCCAAGACACTCTAGGAAGCGTTGAGCTTCAGTACAATGAGAGCTTCGTGTCTGGTGAGTACATTGACTCAGACTGCATTGGCCACCAAGATGAGGACTGTGAAAGATTCCGGCAGCTCTTGGAGCTCAAATGCAAGATTCGAAACCATGGAGAGTATGACCTGTATTACTCGAGCAGCACAATTGAATGCAATCGAGGGGAGCAAGAGGGAGTAGAGCATGAGCTCCAGTTGCTGAACGAAGAGCTCAGAAACATTGAGCTTGAGTGCCAGAATATCATGCAGGCTCACAGGCTCCAGAAAGTGACAGACCAGTATGCAGACATCTGGGCACTGCATGATGGAGGATTCCGAAATTATAACACCAGCATAGACATGCAAAGGGGAAAACTAGATGACATCCTCGAACATCCAGAGAAGTCAGACAAGGACAGTTCTAGTGCTTACAATACAGCTGAGAGCTGCAGAAGTACTCCACTAACTGTAGACCGTTCCCCTGACAGTTCCCTTCCAAGAATGATCAACCTCACCAATAAGAAAAACCTGAGAAGCACAGTGGCAGCCCATCAGTCCTCTTCTGGACAGAGCAGTAAAGAGTCGACCTCCACCAAAGCCAAAACCTCTGAACAAGGGTATGGCCTGGAAGGAAAGGAGAAGGTTTTGGAAAGTAGCAAGTTGCCTGATCAAGAGAAGACAGTGAGCGAGCACATCCCTTACCTCTCTCCTTACCACAGTTCCTCATACAGATACGCACACATCCCAGCACACGCCCGGCATTATCAAAGCTACATGCAGTTAATTCAACAGAAGTCCGCAGTCGAGTATGCTCAGAGTCAGCTCAGTTTGGTGAGCATGTGCAAGGAGTCTCAGAAGTGTTCAGAGCCTAAGATGGAGTGGAAGGTGAAAATTCGGAGTGATGGGACACGGTACATAACCAAGAGACCAGTGCGAGACCGAATTCTGAAGGAACGTGCCTTAAAAATCAAGGAGGAGCGGAGTGGTATGACGACAGACGACGACACCATGAGCGAGATGAAAATGGGGCGCTACTGGAGCAAAGAAGAGAGAAAGCAACACCTGGTTCGGGCCAAAGAGCAGCGTCGGCGGCGAGAGTTCATGATGCGGAGCCGGCTCGAGTGTCTCAAGGAGAGCCCTCAGAGCGGCAGCGAGGCCAAGAAGGAGATCAACATCATTGAACTGAGTCACAAAAAGATGATGAAAAAGAGAAACAAGAAAATTTTGGACAACTGGATGACAATCCAAGAACTGATGACCCATGGGGCCAAGTCTCCTGATGGCACGAGAGTTCATAATGCCTTTTTGTCAGTCACCACTGTATGACCGAATGAAGAACGCAACTGATTTTAAAAGGGTGCTACCAGTTTCGGTAGAGTTTGATTGCCTCGTTCAATGTGGCGTTTTATATATATTTTGCGACGCTTTATAGTTTAAATTTTTTGTAAGCAAAAATACTTGGTAATTTTCCATTTGTTTTTCATATACTGGTACCTTCTTTTTGGCTAAAATCTTCCTTTAACTTGTGATATATTCATATTACTCATTTATAAAAAAATAAATAAAAGCGAAAGGAAAGAAAACAAACAAAAAAAAACTTTAACAAAAATACTGCGGAGCCAATTTCCTACTTTAATGTATCTATTGTAAGTCAAAATCTTGATTTATTTCTCTAGTTTACTTCTTTTCTACTTTATTAATAACTGCCAGAACATTTCTGTGCTCACTTCTTGGCATAATACATACAAAATCAAACCTGGTAATAAATCACAGGCCACATCTTGTCTTACACATAAAGGCCACCTTTTTAAAATACTCTGTTGTACATTGAACACATAAATGGCCGTTGTCTTTGTCTCAGTAAAGTGTAGGTGGACAATCTTCCTGTGATAAGTGGTGACATTGATCATGTAGCTAGGTAATTGTGGTAATTGTGACAATAAAAGAGAAATAAATAATTATCCTCAAGAAAAGTGATCAAGGAGTGTTTTATTTTCATTGTCCACTGTGGTTATCAGGTATAAATTAGTAATATATGTATACTATTTAGAGACTCCTGTGGATTATAAAATGTACACCTTTTCTATCACCTTTTTTTCAATAAAGTTTTCTTGAAACACTTCCTACAGATCATTGTGTCCAATGTTCCTCCCAGGATGAAATGAGGTAATATGTACAGCACGTGACAACATCCAGTCAGTGAGCATTGGTTCATGCTTCCCTTGCCTGTGGCCTGTGTAAAGTAAACCCAAGAAAAACTTAAAGACATGGGGAAAGAAAATCAGTGAGGTGTCTGAAATTGTTCGTAATGACACAAAGTAGTTTCAGTCTACTCTGGTTGTCCTAATAAAACACTATAGACTATCTAGCTTAAGGACAAGAATTTATCTCTCACAGTACTGGAGGCTGAAAAGTTCAAGATTAAATATATTAGGGGTTAGAGTTTCAACACATGAATTTTGAAAGTACACAATTCAGTCTATCATACCATGTGCGTTTATTCAGTTGATCATTTGGGAATTTGGAGAATCATCTTTGTAATAATTATCAGCATAGTTAACTATAAGTATCTATTATATGTCAGTTAATTAAAAGGTGAGATTGTTAGATGATTACGTTTTTGAAAATCTAGCTTATTATCATATAAACCATATCATGTCAATCATGATGCCTCCTAGTGAAAGACCACATCAACCATGTGCATGCAAATGTGAGTTTGATCAAATATGCATTCAACACAGGTTGTCTTAACCTGATGGGTACACAATAGACGGATATTTTCCTGTTTAAAAACCCATGGTATTGGGCCAGCCAGGTGGTGTTCTGTTAAGGCAGCTAGATCTCATTTGGTCCACTGTACGTTGGAGTCCCAGAGCCACCAGTGGCTTGAAAAACAAGCGTGGCAGGTATGCATTTGTGCCCAAAATCCTGAGAGGAGAATGGAGGAAAAGGGTTTGTGGCATGACCGTTCCTACTAGGGGGTGCTTTCTCACTTTCCCTGTCTCTCTTCTCTATCTCTGGTGAGCACATATACCCTGTAGCAAATGAAAAACACAAATCTACAGGGTCTCCCTGTTTGCTTTTAAATTAGACCATGATATCTCAGTCTTATATTCAAGACCCTCTATTAACTCGCCCACCTTACCTTTTAGTCCTCCTCTTTAGATCTGGTCTAGGTTGGTCCTGGCTCCATAGCAGCCTGCTTATTTCCTCTGAAGTGATCTTAGGCTATTCTCCAGCCAGGGTTTCTAAGCCAAATCCTATCCTCCATGGCAGTGTCCTCACATACACATTTTCTCTTTGGCACCTGCTTTGATGACATAAGACTTTCTCAGCTTTGGCATTCGCCGTTATGCACCAATAACAAATTTTTATTCATTATTGAAGTGCATATATAGAGCTTACTGTCTTCCTGCACAGATTTTTAAGTTCATGAGGAGAGACCCTTTTCTCCCTCTCTGTCTTTGTAAACCTGTAGTAGAATGCCATTTGAATAATAATATAAACACTGGTAAGCTATGTTATTATATTCATTTATCTCTCTCCTCCATATATCAGTCCTTTTGTTACTGTTTTCCTCGCTCTTTCATCCTCCTAAATTCTTACCTTTTGAAGGACTATCATACAGAAGAAAAAAAAAAGATTAATCTTATTTACATATAATTAAAAGCTGGACTCAAAAATTTTAAGATAGTGATAGAAACCCATGGCGACTGAAAATTTCACCACTTCTCATTTTTGCTGTTGTTAATCTAATGAATAAGATGATTCAGTGCCCCCAGAGTTACCTCTGTCTGTATGGTTTTACATAAGAATGCCTGTCTATCTTAAGAGCTCAGTTCTCTTCCAGACCTAACCAGCCTGTGGTTATTGTTTATCCTCTTGACACAATTTGGCTTAAATATTCATCACATTTGAATTACTCCTACAGATAAATGTCATTTGGAATCAACATGTTGATTTTTCCAGAAGAAACATGTACACATCTCACAGAATGCAGCCTTTCCAACATTACTGTTTTAATTTTATTTTTATTAAGACCAACTGTGCCTGCTTACTTTTTTTAAAATGTTGACACTGGTGTTTTCAAGTCTATTTTTATGTAGTTCTACAAGTTAAGAAATGTTTCTTACAAAAATCAGTGAACATAAAAAAAGTATTATGCTTTATTTTCTTACATACCATATCTCTGTGCTCAATATATTTTCTAGTAAATAAGTGAATAATAAATTCATTGTTCAGCTAAGAAAAATAGTTGTCTATGTATGGGATATTTATTTTAGTTTAAAAGAAATAGGTCAATGTAAAGAGGGGAAATATTTTACTTGAACTTACCTTTTAAATTACATATTTAATACCTTTTTTTATATTCAGGATGCTACAGAAATTGGTGTAAGGATCCATATGCAAAAGGTTTAATTAAGTGGGCCTTTCATTGAAGGCTATATCATCTTTGTGCAGCCTGTCCTCTTATAAACACATAGATTGAAGGAAGACTCTAACATAGGCTTTGCATAGCTCCATACTAATTCAGCTCATGTCCTGCTTGTGTGCTTCAATCTTCCACCTAAACTCTTACCTTTTTATCTCACTAATGCATTTCTACTCTGTCTTCAAATTCCTTATTTTGTGATGTTGCCTCTGTTCACCTGGTCTGTCATGCTTACTCTTTGAATGTTCTTGAATTTCTTTATATCTTGTCAGTCCCAAAGCACTGCTAGTATTTCTTCAAAATGTGTCCATCTTTTTTTTTCTTTTTGAGAAGATTTTGCTATAGGGCGTGTGCGCTCACCAGAAAGAGAGAGAGACAGAGAGAGAGAAAATGAGAAATCACCCACCCCCAGAGGGGATGGCCACACCACAATCCTTTCTCCTCCATTCTTCTCTAGGGATCTTGGACACATGCACACATGACCGGTATGAGTTTAAGCCACCAGGTCCAGAACTTGAACCACAGTCAACATAGCCATTACACTAACTGCTGATCTCAAAATGTGTCCATTTCTGATACTCTTTGTTTTGTAAATGAATTTGTAACTTTTTAAGAGTTTACTCATTTATTTCATGAGTGGGAGATAGAGAAAAAGAATAGCAAACACCCTCAACAAGGTCTCATGCTTTCAAAGACTGCCAGGATCATGTGTAAGCACACCCAGCATGGTTAGTGAAGCAGGGAATCAAACCCACAATCTTCTATATGATTCCAGTATGGTTTTAGCAGCACATGACCACTGTATCACCAAGCCAGCCCTCTATTACTCTCAGGGCACTCATAGGTAGATCGTCACTACCTCATGCCGAATTACTTCAGTAGGTCCATATCGATCTCTCTGTGTCCCCTTTCCATACCATCCTGTATGTGGCACCAACACTTGTCCCTGTCCTTCACATTCTTCACTGTGCTTTGTACGGTGTCAATAAACTGTCAGGGATCTTCTCCTAAACATGGAGGGGTGGGGAATCAGAGTACTTCAAAGATTTCAACACTTTAACCTTGAGCTATTTTTCACCTAATGTCACACTGTTACAGGATTTCTGAACTGACGAAGTTTGTGTCTCACAGTCACAAAGAATGAATAATGAGGACAGAAAGGTAGTGAGCAGTTTTACTGAAAGAAGAAAGCTCCTGAGTGGGAGGGAACCTGGAAGAGGGTTCCCCACTTAAGGCTCTCATCAAGTGGTTTTTTCTTTTCTTTTTTTGGAGAGTTGTTTTTTTGTTTTGTTTTGCTTTTTGGGTTTTTTGGGGGGGGGGTTTGTTGTTATAGGGTGCATGCGCTCGCCAGACACAGAGAGACAGAGAGAAAGTGAGAAATCACCCCCCGCCCCCGGGGGGATGGCCATGCCGCAATCCCTTCTCCTCCATTCTCTTCTCGGGATCTTGGACACACATGTACACATGGTGGCATGAGTTTTAAACCACCGGGTCCGGGACGCGAACTGCGGTTGACTACATGGAAGTCCAGCGACATAGCCATTACACTTACTGCTGGTTCCTCATCAGGGGTTTTAATCCTGCTTTTTCCTCATGGGGGTGGTCACATACTAGTCATGTTATTCCTTGCAAAAAACTAGTGATAAATGATTGCTCAAGTCTTTGAGAACTACAGGTTCTAGAGATCACATCTAGTGGTCAATATTTGCCCAAGTCTTTGAGTGTGGGCCCTTAAGACCATTATCTAGGTTCTGGAATGTAGTAGGGGTATGGAAAAGCCATAACTCCTATACTTTCTGTAAGTCGCATTGCCTACTATCTTAAGCTGTGTTGTATAAGTTTCTGTGTGCAAGCAATTCCTAGTGAAAGTTTGGCTATCATGCCTCCATCTTAAGGCTTGTGTCCTGAATACTTGATTTTTAGATTTCCATGTCCCATCTCAACATTTCTCTCCAAGAAAGACTTCCAACTCAAACTTTGTAA